ACCTGCCCTTGAACCCCTCCAGGGATGGGGCAGCCACAGCTTCTCGGGGCAACCTGGGCCAGGCTCTCACCACCCTCACACCAAAGCGTTTCTGCCAGAGATCTCACCTAAATCTCCCCTCTTTCAGTGTCAAACCCTTCCCCCTTGTCCTATGGCTCCCCTCCCTGATCAAGAGTCCCTCCCCAGCTTTTCTGGAGCCCCCCTTGAGGGACTGGAAGGGGCTCAAGGTCTCCCTGGAGCCTACTGCTCCAGCAATGGCAGGAGAAGAAACAAGAAAGGCAGAGGGGAAGTGTGTAAGCATGAGGCAGATTTAAAAAAAAAAAAAGAACAATGAAATATGCAAGAACACGAAAGAGGCAGCAAGGAAAAAATGGCAGCAATGAGTTGGGATGAACTGCTGAGCAACTTGGAGCAGCTGGATCTGCTGTGAGTGGGGATTGTTTGGCATAAAGCCCAGGAACAACTCAAATCCAAAAAAGCAGCTGGCAATTTAGTGTAGTCTGGATGTACAGACTGCATAGTGTGCATTTCTCCATCTTAAAGGGATCAGCTAGCACGTTTATTAGCCATTGGGGGCCAGGAAGAGGCACATCTGACTACAGAAAGAAGGAACAGTGCAAGAAAAGGAAGAGAATATTTGGGAGAGGACAGAATGAGAGGGAATGGCTTCAAGCTCCAACAGGGGAGGTTTAGATTGAACATTAGGAAAGAATTTTTCACCGAAAGAGTGGTCGGGCATTGGAACAGGCTGCCCAGGGAGGTGGTGGAGTCACCATCCCTGGCTGTGTTTAAGGGCCGTTTAGATGCAGTGCTGAGGGACATGGGGTAGGGGAGGACTTTGTAGAGTAGGGGAGATGGTTGGACTCGATGATCCCAAGGGTCTCTTCCAACCTCAATGATTCTATGATTCTATGTTCCCTGGCGTATTTGCGTGGTTCTATGTGTGGTTTCAGAATGCCTCATGCCAGTCTCCTGGGTTGCTGCAATCCTCTTTCTTTAAGCTTTAGTTCATAGAATGATTTCCTATCAAAGAATATCAAGATATTTCTTCCAATTAATATCTGAGTCAGTCTCAATACAGCTGTACTTAATCTCAGTATTAAGCGTGAATAGGTACATTTGCCTAGGCTCAGGTTAGGTTGCCACCCATGGAAAGCTACCAGCCAATTCAGTGTCTCTGTCCCTACCAGCTTCCAAAGGTAAAACAGCTGAAACAGTGTGATACCTTATCTAGTGGTGGACATTCCAGGAGGGCTTGGGGGCTCTGTGCCTTCAGTACCCTCTGGAAATGGTGCAGAAAGCCATGGACAGAGAGAAACAGAAGGGCAATTAGGCAGAGAGGCAAGAAAGACAGGCAGCGCAGGACAGGTCTGTGGAGAGGGAGCTGCAGGGTTGGTACAGGTGACATGGCAGTCAGTCCCGGAGTGTTTTAGAACTTAATATTCACAGCTGTGATAACCACACACTGCCCAGCTCTGCCTTACTCATTTAGAGCCTGCATCTCTGCAATATCCTCGCTGAAGTCCCTCCTTGACTCCTGTGTGTTGCGGATGCTGTTGTGTGTCTGCTGGGGAGGTCTGCTTATAAAAAAATGGCTCCGGGGTTTGTGTGCTGACAGACTACTAGGGCTTCTGACACAAATACAACTATTCTGATGAGTAGTGGTTTCTACTGCACACTCTAAAACTGGTCTAAGTGTGGAGAAATTTGTTCAAGTGAGCTTCAAGAGACTAAAGGGCAGGCAAGAGTTTGAGTCCTTGCTGGGCAGGACACCTGCCTGTTGGAAACCTGACAGGAATGCTTGTCCTTTGGCCTTTGTGGGCTCTTTGTTATTCTTAGTGCCCAGCAAATTAAGGCATAAATTTGGACAGATTAGTTAAAATTTGTACTAGCAGATCGGTCTATGCAGTATGGCTGGAGGATCTGGCCAATATGAAGGTGCCTATTAAATCATATTCCTAACAAAGCCGACCACCACTGAAGATCAGAACTCCTTTTTCTTCTACATGGCATTTGTGCTGAAAGCACCAAATTTCCAGTTCAGCCCCCTTGTGCTAACTACAGAACTGCTAAATGTCTGGAACAGCCCTCATTGTAATCTAGTTCTGTGAAAATGAGATTGACTGTGGTCTAAGCAAAGGGAGGAGAATCCAGAATGGGAGATAAATCTTGTTCCCATCTTTCCAAGAACTTTTTTTTTTTCTGATATTGAGGTACAAATAACAACAGAGAAAACAACAACAAAAAACTATAGAAGCCCAACTGGCATATATTTAGTGCCAGTGGCTGGTTTCAGGGTCTTGCCTGTATATTATAGACCTCATATGTATATGCCTGTATGTATATATTATATAAAATATTATAAAAGGCAAACCCTGGATAAGTTTGCTGAAGCTTGCTGGGAAAAGACTGGATGTCCTGGTAATTCTTTCCTTCTCTCTGGCTTTCTGCGATGTTGTAAAGGGTTGTCTCATCCTTGTTAACTCTTTAATTCCGGGTTACGGGTACGTCCCTGCAAGGAGCGCTTTCCAAGCTCTGTGTGACAGACCCCCATTCACAACCAAATGGCGAAGGAGGTCGCGCCTGACCCCGCACGGTCACCGCCGGCAGAGCGGGGCGGGGGGGGCGGTTTGGCGCAGTTCTGCCCCGCAGGCGGCAGGTGGCAGCACCGCGCAGCGCCTTCGGCCGCGCAGCCTCCGCGGCCGCCCGCGGGGAGAGGCGGGGCCGGGCGCGAGGCGAAGGCGGGAGCGTTTCTCCCGCGCTGAAAGACTGGGCTTTTGTCCCGACGGCGCTCCCCTCCGCGCCCCCTCCCCCGGTCAGCTCTGCCCGTCCGCCCCGGCCCCCCCAGCTCCGCACGGGTGGATTCCTTGCTCTTCTGAGCAGCTGCTCCCCGGGCAGGTTTGGGACGCGGAGCTTTGGGAAGGGCTGGTCACTGAGAGTCACTGAGAGACAGTAAACGGGACCACACGTGCAAAGACATTTGGCTACTTTTTTTTTTTTTTTTT